AGTCTGTGACAGCCTGGACTGACAGGTTGACACTTTGACACTCCATCTCACGGTAAGCAGTTGGTATATCCAGCCAATCAGATCGCACACAGTAAAAAAACTAAGACACACCCCACCCACTACCCAGGTATCCATTTGCGCTAACCCCGTGGGATGCACTACATAAACGGAGTCATCTTATCTCAACGCATACATCTACAGTCGATGCTGGTAAAAATAGATTGCTTACCTTAGGGGTCTAGGTTTTTAGACTTGGGTTAGGCCAGCCGGCATCACGAGGTCGACCCGAGACTACTGAGTCCGTCATACAGCCTCCCACCCCATTGGTTCTGTGACAGAAAGTACTCGTACGTCGAGAGGCCGATGCGGTGTAGGTGCCAGTGAAAGAACAGCAGCATACCAAACACTCCAACGGCAGTTAGACCCAAGAGGGCGCTCACATACAACGGCCATGTGCGGCTGTAGGTGTCTGTATAGCCCAGGTAGAAGCACCATGCGGCTGTGACAGGGGACGGGCAGAGGGAAGGACGTTAGTGAACAAAGTAGCCTAACAGAACCTAAAGATAAAGTAACCAACGAAATAAAACAGTAAAATAAAAGTATCTAAACAAACCCAAACAATAGAGTAACCCACAAAATAAAAGTACCAAACAGTAGAACAAAGTAAAACCTAACAGACCCCAAAAAGAAAGTAACCAACGAACTAGAACAGTAAAATAAAAGTAACCAAACAGTATGCAACATAACCAAAATGAGAATAATCACGCCATAATACCTTCAATCGCCGAACTCACGAAGAAGCAGAGGCACGTCAGGATAAAGGCTGTGTAATTCCCTTCGCCGATGCAGTTGTTCATGAAGACACAGTGGTGGTCAAAGTTCGGTACACACACGCCACACCGGCTGCAGTGCTTGGTGGAGAGATCAATCACCACGTTGCACTCTCGACAGAAGCCGCTTATAATGGACTGTATTGGGAGGTGGATGTTCGTGGTATATTATAGATTGGAATAGTTGATTGTAGATGATGTGTATGTGATTTGAATAGTTGATTGTAGATGATGTGTATGTGATGTGAATAGTTGCTTGTAGATGATGTGTTTGCTATGTGAATAGTTGATTGTAGCTGATATGTATGTGATTTGAATAGTTGATTGTAGATGATGTGTATGTGATTTGAATAGTTGATTGTAGATGATGTGTTTGCTATGTGAATAGTTGATTGTAGCTGATGTGTATGTGATTTGAATAGTTGATTGTAGATGATGTGTTTGTTATGCAAATAGTTGATTGTAGATGATGTGTATGTGATTTGAATAGTTGATTGTAGATGATGTGTTTGTGATGTGAATAGTTGATTGTAGATGATGAGTATGTGAATTGAATAGTTGATTGTAGATGTGTTTGTGATGTGAATAGTTGATTGTAGATGATGAGTATGTGATTCGAATAGTTGACTGTAGATGATGTGTATAAGTTGATTGTAGATGATGTGTTTGTTATGCGAATAGTTGATTGTAGATGATGTGTATGTGATTTGAATAGTTGATTGTAGATGATGTGTTTGTGATGTGAATAGTTGATTGTAGATGATGTGTATGCGATTTGAATAGTTGATTGTAGATGATGTGTATATGATGTGAATAGTTGATTGTAGATGATATGTTTGTGATGTGAAACATCGTATCATGGTGTTGAAGTGATAGAATATGGTCAATCTGGAAGCTGGGAGCGAGTCTTGTACGTTGTTAACTACATCGGGCTATGCATATAGTGGAGACGACCCGAGTATACAATCTTATGGTGCTGATATACTTACCAGGATAATAGTGAGTACATACATACATACATACATACATACAAACATGTATACATACATTTAGTAAACAGTATACTTTCACAAATATTTATACATATATATATATATATATATATGTGTGTGTGTGTGTGTGTGTGTGTGTGTGTGTGTATAACTGCACCTCCACGCTTATCGGCGGTGA